GAAGCCCTGAGCCTTCACTGTCTCACTGTGGACAGAAGAACAGACTGCGGACGGAAGCCCTGAGCCTTCACTGTCTCACTGTGAACAGAAGAACCCAGCAGAGGGCAGAGTGAGATGAGGGCTCAGCAGGGAGAGGGGCCTCCGACAGGGTCTTCCGTATGCCCCTTTGAACTCTGAAAATCCAGAATCCTAGTATCACTGATGCCCTGTCAGAAGAGAGGAGATCCCTTTGGGGCCTGGAGTGCCTTACATTTATGGAAAGATGGCTGTGAGCTCACCAGAACCTGACTAGAACCCTGAGTTGGGGGCACAGGAGAAGGGAAGGAGTCTGTACAAAAAGTGGGGTGTGCATGCAGGATAGTGGCAGGAAGAAGACAAGAGGGCAGGCATCTGGATGATTCTGGGACAAAGATACACATGTGCAATGCTGAGAGGAACATTCATGAGAGAATACACATTGTGAATGAGTGTCTAGAGCATGGCAGGCCATCTATGCAGTACTGTCTACATACGTGTCAGGATGGTGTGTGGAGTAGTGTACAGTGTACCATTGTGTGTGTGTGTGACAGGCGCCATCTGACTTAGACAAGTGTGTGCCTCCACTGACCAGCATGTTCTCCTGTGGTTGGAGCACCAGCAGCTTGTCCTCTTCTGCAGTCTCCTCACATGCCTGTTGCTGGTTAGGACCAGAAGTTCTGAGACTGGTCCCATCTTGAGAAATGGAAAAAGGCTTGGAGACCAGGAGCCGGAAGGAGTGTGGGATTTCTGTTGTGTTGGTCAACTTCAGGTGGTGGGTATTCACCAACTCACTCAGCACCTGACAGCAACAGAGGTGGGGAGGAGTGAGGAGGGGACTCAGTGTCAGGCCTGTTCTCCACAAGGGCCCAGAGGGACATTTGAGGTAAATGGATGAGGCTGGGGTCGCAGCACACTCACCCCAGAGCAGGGCTCTTCAGGAATGAGTTCACTGGCTTGGTGCTGGAATTCCATGCCGTCACCATAGTCCAGCTCCACACTCAGCCTGCTCAACAACATGCATGGCTGGCTCAGGTCAGGCCTCTGAGCAACCCCCTGGCTGTCCATACTCCTGCTCACTGGACCTGTGGCCATCCTTTCCATAATTTACCCGTTGGCTTCTTCCTGCCCTTTCCTATTGTTCTTGCTCCTAGAACCCTAACTGGTCCCCACCAGTGTGCAGTGAGGGTGTGCACAAAGGGATGGAGGATGTTCAGGCAGCCTCGTAGACTCACTGTGCAGGCCTTACGTAGCCATGCAGGTCTAGTCTCAGGGGTCCCACAGCAAAGTCTTGCAGCCGGCGCCTCCTCCCTGGAATCTCCCTGTCGACCTGCCAAGCCAGAGCCTAGTCGGCTCACGGTGGTCCCTGGGCTGAGCAGCCAGGTGCTGGCTAGTAGAGAGAGGGTCCGAAGGGCTCACCTCACTGTCCAAGCTCATGAAGCCTAGGGCGTAGCCAGTGCACTCCACCTTGTTCAAGATGTCGGGGCTGAGGACCATGGGTGTGAAGGAGATGGAGATAGTGCTGCTACTCCCAGCAGGGACCACCTGGCACAGACAGCAGCCTCAGCACTGCCCTGTGCCCACTGGCCATCCAGCTCAGATGCTCAGAGGTAGCGCCCAGCTTTCCACCTGACTCACCACCTGCCTAGGTCTGACAGAGTACAGGGAGGTGCAGGGTACCCCCTCATGCTCCTGCAGGATGACTGAGATGATCTGTGTGGCCTTGGTGCTGTCATGGGGGCTGCTCTCAGCCTGTCATGAAAACCGTCCCCAGGTTTATACAACTGGTCTGTCCATGTGTTGCTAGCTTTCAGAATGGCCAGCTTACCTCCCCTACCATCCTCTACTCACAGAATGGACAGTTTCATGGCTGCTGCATTCGGATTCATCGGAGGGACATGGAGACCCGAAGTTGCTGGCCTCAGGGCTCTCAGGACACATGAGTTCATTCCCAGCTTGGTCACGTAGCGGGAAGGGTGGCCCATAAAACACCAGTAACTCCACCAGCTGCTCCTCCCTGTCTTCTGGAGAATAGGTCTCCCAGTCCAGGCGAATGTCTATGGCAGATACAGGAAACAGGCAAGTAATAAGAAAAGAAGACAGGTCTCCCTATGCCCCCATCTCCTCTGCCTATTCTCCCACTCGGAGTGTAAGGGGGCCTCTCTTCCCCTGTAATGCCACTTCCAGGCAACTCTTCTGATTAAAACTCTTCAGGCTACAGCACCATTGACTCTCCTCCCTGTCACTTCTATACCTCAGACTCCTGAGAATAACACGTTATCTCCAACTGCAAATGCAGCAAACAGATCTCCTCTCCTGCTGGCCTCTGTGCTGACCACCCGGAATCCTCCAACCTCTGCATTCCCTCATTTGTTTCCAAATATGCTTTAGCCCCATTGATTTCAGCTCCTTCCCTGGCCAGGAGAGTCTTCAGGAGCTGTCATGCCAACCCTTGGCTTGCTAGGATCCTCCATCCTTCCACCCAGCTGGCAAAACCTACTAGTAGATGAACTCAAGTTTCTGAATACTACTGGAGAAAAAAAATCCCCCAAGCTAAGCAGATTGTCAACCCCATTTAAGTCTGTCTCCAACTAACCTGAGCCCCCATGTTGTCCTTCTCCCCACGTTCCCAGTGAGATTTCCTGCCCATGTGAGCTCTTCACCAGGACAGCCAAGCCTTCCTTACTGTCCCCAGTGATAGCTCCTGACGCTCACCTCATCTTCCAGAAGCTCCAAATCAAAAAGCCCTGTCCCAAGCCTACATGTGTTTGGAACTCTGCCATCATCCCATCCCTCCTGCCTTCCATCCTGCTCCTCCGGCTTGGGGACCAGTCATAACCAGCAGGTATACCTTCTCCTTTCTATCATCATCCCCTCATTGCACCTAACAACCTGCCCATAGCAAGGCCAGGTCTCCCCTGTCAGAAACAGGCCCTAAGTTAAAGGTTCTCTTCTTTGTAGTAAGCGTCTAGGACAAATTGTTATACCTTCCCTCAGTCCTCCTGAATACTTATAATGACAGGTTCTTGGCTAGGGTACCCAACGCCCAAGATTCCTGATCTGGTATTTCTGAGAATATATCCACGAAAACCACTCCCACCAAGGCCCTCCATATCCAAAGTTCAATGAATAATCTTTTAAGTAGAAATAGAAAAATGTGCATCTGATTATGAGCACTTAGAAAGGGAAGGTAACCACTAATGGAGAGAAAGGAAAGGAAAGAAATTCCAAATTTAACAAAAGGAAACCAGAGTAGTGATTTGATCAAATCACAAAAGCAGTAAGAAAAATCACAAGGGAAGATGGACAAGGAGGGGTCGGAGCTTGAAATGGCAGATCAGTTAGAAGCACAATGAGGACCTCTGCAGCAATAATACAGAATACCAGATGAAGCAGGTTCAGGGGATGGCCCCAGGACTCTGAACCACATATAAAGGAATATTTAGAAAGTGTGAAGGCTTACAGCCAATGGCGTTTGTAGCAGAAGCAAGAAAACTGGTGTTTTTTTTTTCTGATTGGCCGGCCTCAGCAGCTCCTTGGGCAAGACAGAGCAGGGGAAGGACCAGTGCCACTATGGATGCCTTACCAATCCTCCGAAATAAAGGTGTGGACATTAGTTTTTTTTGTCTCTGTTCACTGGTCTCTCATCTGCACACCTCCATTCTTGTGACTAGAGGGGGTGCCTGAGTGAGAAGACACCCACCCCCGGAGGATTCTACTAGGCATGTGCATAAGCCTGCTCAGCAAAATTTAAAGGGAAAGGCCCTGCTTAAAACCAAACAGCACAAAATGGCCCACTGCCGACCCTGAACTGAAGACTGGACGGGGTTTGTAGAGTGGGCAGAGAGGCAAGTTAAAAAGGAAACAGGCTGAAAATTAAATCCCGAATTACATCATAAGGACCAACAGTGACATCTTGAAATTTCTCAAGCGACCTTGAAAGCAAGAAGTCAAGAGCTAGATGTTAAAGTTATTCTCATATTGTGCTACAGAATATTTTTTCTTTTTTTTTTCTCTTTTCTGCGAGTAAAGACTACAGTATCCAATCTGTCTTTTTTGCTGTTGCTGTTTTGTTTTTTTTGATCTCCTCTTTATCTTTAGGGGGCTCTTCTCTCCCTACATTACCCAAGAAGAGACAGCAAGTACAATCATATAGGCAAGCTACAATCATTCTCTAGAAAACCCCACCATCCATGCAAGACCCAATACCTGCTGCTGTACACCAAACAGGCAGCCAACACATGCTAGAATTACTCCGAGTTGAGTAATAAGAAGAGTGAAAACGGAAGCCCATCTCCTGATCACATCTACCTGGAGGCATTCAGAAAGCATAATAAAACATCAACATCCATTCATCTAATTACTGAGTTCACAGCTAACTATTCAAGATGCCCAAGAAACAGATGACCATATGTCCAGAAACAAGACAGAATGACTGGGACAGATGAGCAGGAGATAGATCCAGACATCACACTGGAGGGAGGGCAGGCTTTGGAAATGCCTAAGAAGGAATTCAGGAGAATGATAATGAGGTGCAGCCAAGTACTCCACACAGAGGGTGAGAAAAACAACGAAGAAGTCAGGAAAGCGCTACAGGAATAATCAAACAAAATAGATACAGCATTGGAAATAATCCAAAACCTACAGAAAGAGCTCCAGATGATTAATAATACAATGAAAGGGAAAAAAGAGTAGAATTGAAGAGATAGAAGCCAGAACTAGTGAGCTAAAAGGTAAATCTCTCAACACTACGTAGATAGAAGAACAAACACAAAAAAGGACTAAAAAAATCTGAAGAAGGCCTAAGATTCATGTTGGACAACATGAAGAGGAATAACTTAAGAATTACTGGCATTCCAGAAAAAGAACTATCACACAAGGCCACAGACAAGATAGTTGAAGATTTTCTGGAAGAAAAATTTCCTAACATCCTGAAAAGTGAAAAGATAAGCATTCAAGAAGCTCAATGAACCCCAGGAAGGATAGACCCTAAAAGACAATCACCAAGACATACAATAATCAAGCTCTCCAAAATTAAAGATAAAGACAGGATCCTGAAAATAGCTAGGGAAAAGAGAAGTGTAACATACAAAGGCAAGCAAATCAGTTAAGCTTGGATATCTCAACAAAAACCACGCAGACAAGAAGGCAATGGGGAGACACATATAAAACCCTGAAAGAAAAAAACTGCCATCCAAGAATCCTCTACCCAGCAAAGATGTCAATCAAATACGATGGTGAAATCAAAACATTCCAGGATAAACAGAAGCTAAGGGATTTTCCCAAAGCCAACCCTGCTATGAAAAACATCCTAAAGGAAGTTCTGTGGACTGAGAGCCAACAAGAACAGACAACAACTACAGAATGACGTATGTGGCAGCATCACCCTGAACTCAATTAACAAATGAAGAGTCAAGAACAGAATAAAATTATAAGAACAGAGGATCTGGGAAGTCAGTCTATGATCAAAACAATTACAATGTTAAAGAAGGTAAACACAGAGAAACAGAGATCCAGGTGGTGGGAAGGTCAGGTGGATTACAGGATAAAATAGACTGTCTTAAATGGAGGGTAGAACTAATGGAATATAAAGTAACCACAATGGGGTTGGGATGGGGTGTTTAGTTTGGGTTTTGGGGAGCACAATACAAGAAGTGGGGAGGAGGTGGAAGAACAAGATAGATAGGGCAACACTGAGACAGGTTTGCATGTCCTAGTGGGACAGAGGTAAATAGTGATGCATACTCAACCTTGGAACAACAGGGCTCTGGGATACAGGGATATAGGTATAGCTTGAAAAGGGTAAATAATAGTAAAATCCTTGAGTGCCTTATGAATATTAGTTTCCCTTGCCTACTGTTGTAAAATAGACACTTGAGTGGGATAGAAAACAATGTTGGGAAACATGATTAGAGAAAACTTGTAAGCCCATCTTCAGCCTATCAACTGACTGGAATACCTAAAAGGGATTCTAGAACTTGCCCAGTGAAATAGAAAGCCTTTATAGCGTATAGGTGGAATCTATACCTTTATACCTTAGGTGGAATCCTGAGTCTCATCCAGAACTTTCTGAAGTGGGACAGTCCCACGAGAAAGGATAAGCAGACCATCCTGAAATAGCTACAGTGACAGAAGATACATCTTCAAAGAAAGATCAGGAAAAACCCAAAACAAAAATGTCATGACTGGCTACTACCAAGAATAAGCGAGCTGTTCACCCAGAAAACATCAAGGCTAGAAACAAGTTTTTCAGGACCAACTCCCACCTAAGACAAACTCAAAGGGAATACACAAACAAGCATGTAAGCTTGCTGGTGACCACATTGGTCTACTGGTGAGTGGAAGTGGGGGAAAGGCAACAATGAGGAAATGGGCTGAGTTCAACCCCAGTCCATTGAAAACTGTTAACCTGGAGATGACACAGAGAAGAGGAAAGGCTGATTGGTTCAAAGTGTGGTCAGATCTGAGGACACTTGAGCCCATGGACAAGGACTTAGCCACAGAGGGCTAGAGCTGTGAAGCATCCAGCTGATATAAAGTGAAGGGAGATACACAAGAACACCCAAACTTGCATAAAGTACCCTTTTGACCTAGCCTCGATGGTTTGATAATCTGAACTCAAGTAGAGGAAGACTGAAAAAAAAAAAAAAAAAAAAATTTTTTTTTTTTTGGATAAAGGAAACAAGGATAAATTGCTACAATATGACGAACCTGACCTATACTCAGAAAGGGAAAGAGTCTTCACATCAAGTATCAATGCTATCCCATTTGTGCACAAGGTAGATAGGGACAGGCAACTTACACATTGGCTACCTAAAATGAGGGGGGAAGTGACTGGTTTACAAGGTTTCAAGAGGGAGTTTAGTTTAAGAGTATGGGGGGAAAGAAAGTGTCCCCACTGAATAGCTGTCCCTTGTGTAGATGGGTCTGGTGAAAAAAGATGGGGATAAGATTCGTATGATTCAATAGTAATTGTTATCATGACTAACTGCGACTGTCACAATTGTAAAGGTAGAAGTTCTATAACAAAAACAGGGGAGTGGTTAATCTTACAGTCCAGAAACAGAGGAACCTAGGACCATGGGGAGAGAAGCGCACAAGCAGAATGCAGGACCTTATCCAGAGAAGCAGTAGTGCCAGAGATGGAGGCAGAGATGGGGTTATGGAGATGGGGAGCGGCTGAGGACTCTAGATTCATAGGAAGAGAGGAACTAAGAGCTGGTGGCCAGGAGGCAGACTTGTAGAATGTGCCCTTTGGAGATGTAAATTTTTACATATGCCTGAGTGTTTGTTTTTAAAAAGCTAAACTGGATAGAGAGAAATACTGTTAACTGATGATACATGGATTACAATCATTGTGATAAAACAAGGTGTATGAATTGTTGAATGTAAAACTGATGATATGCCCTGTAAACTTTTACTCAATTCACAATAAAAACCTTAAATTAAAAAAACAAAAAAAACTGCACAGATCTAGTAGACAAGTAAGGTCATAGAGCAAAGGTTTTCTACCCTATTAGAATCAGCTGAGGAGCTTTTAAAAAACAACAGTACCCAGGGTCTGCTCATGTTGTTGGTGTTAGGTGTCTGGTGTTAGGTGCCGTGGAGTGAGTTCTAATGCAGTGACCCTGTATAGGAGTTTCGAAGCCATCAGTGTTTATGGGGGAGCTAAAATGCCACATTTTTCTCCTGTGGACCAGCTGGTAAGTTATACCAACAACCTTGTTAGCAGCTTTGTGCTTAACTGACATCATCACAGCTCCCAGCCAGCCCATAGACTCACAATCAGTGGACCTAAGGCGGGTTCCAGCCTCAGGATTCCTTCAACTCTCTAGGTGACTTGATGTGCACAGCTAGGTTGGTTCCCTCATGCCTCTGAGCTGTTTGCTCTTTCTGCTGCCTACAACACTCTTCATCTCAATATTTCCTCAGCACAAGCTGGCTCACCCTGGGCAAGCTTGGTCAATCCTCCCTCCACTCCAAGCTCCCCACTCTTTCTCCCTCTCCCTCTCTCCCTCTCTCTCTTACACCCATCCCCCCCCCACACACACCCTCAGATGCCTCCATAGCAACTACAGAGGTGTGGGCTCCTGAGTCCTCTTCATGGGCCCGCATGTCCCAGACCCCTCCCAGCCTGCCTAGCACAAGCACAGATTATACCAGAAGCCCCCTGGGGTCTTACCACAGGGGCTGGAGTTATTCAGGCGAAGGACCCGGGTGACTGTGTCTCCTCCAGAGAGTGAGGTGCCGAACCTAGGGGCAGGGAGGTCACGGCCAGCACAATCACAGCCAGGTAGGATTACTGTCAGAAGGGGGCTAGTGGTAGGGAGACTGAGGCAGGGAGCAAGCATCACTCTCTGTTCTTGCCACAGAGTCAACCAAACCGAGGTTGAGAGGCCTTCCCATGCAGAACCTTGTGAGCTAACTCAGGGCTGCTCAGTGCCCTGGCAACTCCTACCCCATACTGTGCTCACTGTACTGATTTCAGCCAGTTGGTGTGAGGGGGACCCTGGTTCTGGTACTAACCTTGGGCCACACTGACTACCCACTTCATCTACAACTCAAAAGCCTTCAGAGATGTGCAGATGGTAATCATGTCCCCTGAGGTGTCTCTCCACCAGGTTAGCCCTGTCCTGGGATCTTCTTGCTGGGTGGCCCCAAGTATCACCAGTCCAGCTTGAAAGCAAGAAGCCTGTGTGGGCAGCCCAGGCTGGAACACAAAGGGAGCTCAGACCTGAGGGCTTGGGGGCCACTGGGAACCAGGATACAGCACCTGATGGTGGGCTCCTTGAGAGGCTGGTCAACAGTATAGTAGGTGGTCCTCTGGGAGCTGATGGGACAGCCCACCACAGCCATGTGCACTGGGATGACAGCTGGAGGCAGGTTCCCCACCTGCCAACACACACCAGTCCTTTGCCATTCCTGTCCTGGCCTGCAGCCACACTCCCCAGCTCCCCATTCCCCTCTTCCTGCCAGCCAGGTCTCTGCAGTTTGGTCACAGCCATCAGATGCCTGTTCCAGAGCCAGAGGCCTGGGGCTGCCCTGCTTCCCAGCATGCCTCCCCTTCCCTTTCCTTTCACCTGCTTTCCCTCCCCAGCCTGAAGTCACCTTCCCGCCTTCACTATTTTGCCTTCCCAAGATCCCATCTACAAATTTCTGTGTTTTTTCATTACAAAGATTTTGTCTTTCTCTGACAGTACGAAGTAATACACACAGTTTTGTTTTTTAAATTAAAATACAAAATGTGATAATGATCCTTAATTCTGCTTTAACCAGCATGTTCCCTATTAACATGTTACCGCACAACTGTCCAGATTTTCTTTTGTAGAATAAAACAAATGTTTTTTTTGTGTGAGTATGTGATGATCTTAATCTTTCCTACCCTCTCCCTCGCTTTCTGTTTCTTCTTTTCTTCTATCTGAGACTATGCTGAGAAGAACAGGTAAGCTGGCATGAATGTATCTGTACACATACGCACTTGTTACTCGGTTCTTTGTAACATGCTGTCGAGTTGGTTGTTAACTCACAGTGACCTTGTATAGGCTTTCTGAGCAGATGGTGGGTTTGAACAGTTAACCTTATGGTTAGCAGTCCAGTGTGTATCCTACAGTGCTTATCCCTACCTTAGGGAAACTATAAATATGGGGGTCCAGCACATTTCAAAAGTGCCTGCAGAAGGGTGTTCCTCATTTACCCCCCCAATGAGCCCCTTCCTGCCTTCCCCTATCACGTTCACCAACTTTTAAAGCTTGCCCTTTTGACAAAATGAGTATATCATTGTTATGCAACTTGCTTTTCTTTAGTTACTAGTTGTTGTCAAGTGCTGTCGAGTTGGTTCCAACCCAAAGCAACCCTGGATAGTGTTTCCAAGAAGCAGCTGGTGAGCTTGAACTGCTGACCTTGTGGTTCAAACCAGCTTTGCAGTTCAGCACATTAACTCACAGTGCCACACCAAGACTGGAAGCATTGGCATATTTTGTATATTTACTGGCCATGTTATTTGTCTTTCTGCGAGCTGCTTGTTTTAATTCTGCCCATTTGAGAAGCTTTATTCTTTCTTGTTATTAAGAACGCTTTGTCTATTAAAGGTGCCCCGCTGCCACTCTAGGTTAGGGTTAGGGTTGTTAACCATCAGATTGGCAGTTCAAACCCACCAGCCTCTCTGCTCCTGTAAATAGTCTTGGAAACCCTCTCAAGGGTCACTGAGTCGGAACTGACTCATTGACATTGGGCTTGCCTATTAAGGTGGAGCTGTATGATAAGCACTGGACTGCTAGCAACACCAGCTGCACCCTGAAATCCCTATTCAGGATCACTATGAGGTAGAACAGACCCAACAAAACTTAACAACATGCATAATACAGTTGATCTAAACCAACTATCTAATTGTTCAAGTTACTAAATAGTCCATGAAAATCTTCTATGTAATAACAAAATACTACAGAATAATACAGAGTCTGGGTGTGGTGCTGTAGGATAAGCACTGCACAGCCAACAGAAAGGCTGGTGGTTCAAATCTACCAACTACTCCTCAAAAACCCTATCTAGGGCCTCCGTAAGTCAGAACTTGATGGCACTTAACAATAATACTATAGAATAACATGCACATCTCTCTCCCTTTCCCCCATATGTACAGTAGGTTACGTGTGCTGAATGCATGCATAAAGGAATGGACCGATGGGTTAGTGAATGAATACCTGGAGGGCTTGGTGAGGATGTGGCTCTGCCCCACCACCTCTAACTCCCACACCAGGGGTGTGACCATTGCCCCTTGAGCTCTGAGCCAGGCAGCTAGCCCATGGGATTCCTCTACTCTCCGCAGTGTGCTCCCCACCCTGCATTTCATGGGAAAAGGTATGGAAGGTTTTATTGCTCATGAGTTAACACCCCAAGAGGTTCCTGCAGACTTGAATGGCCACCCTGAGCTCGGTGGGGTTTGCCTTTCAACCTGGTAAGTGTTGAGAAGTTGTGGGTCAGGCGTGAGAGGGGCGCAGACCTGAGTGGAAGCCTCCCCTCCCCTGAGCCGAGGTCGCACGTCCTTACCATGCAGATGAGGTTGTCCCAGTATTCGCCCCACATGTTTGCACAGCCCGTGATGCCAATGCTGAGCTGCTGGTAGGCTCCCAGCATGCCTCTGGAAACATGGGGGGAAAAGGCAGCTCCTTTCCCATGAGACAACATGCTTTTCATAAAATCTGGGGGAGAACCAAGAGTGACAATTCAGGGCCCTGGGGTGGGAATGTGGTCCAAATCCTAGGCATCAGCAAACCATTTTTATAGACAAGTCACCCTACAGTCTTGCTTTGGTCAGGCTGGTAGCGTAGTGGTTACGAATTGGGCTGCGACCCTTAAAGTCAACAGTTCGAAACTACCAGCTGTCCCGCAGGAGAAAGGTAAGGCTTTCTGCTCCCATAAAGATTTACAGCCCCAGAAACCATATACAGGGTCACTAAAAGTTGGAACTGACTCCATGGCACATAACCACCAAACACGCCTTCATCCTGGGAGCCTAGGGGCTAGCGGGCTCAGGGCCCTTCCTAGTTAGCCTTTCTCGTCTAAGAGGCCAGACTGCAGTTTCAGCCCTCCTTTATGGGTTACCAGTTATCCCAAATCACATCCAGGCTCTTTGCCCAAGTCTTATGCCCTACTGGGGAGATGGCCTCATTTGAGAGAGGAACCACTATCAGGTAACAGGGGCATGATTATCTTGGTGACCTAGGCTAGATAAGACTTGTGTGGGATCTCTAGTCCTGTCCCATAGCCTCACAAGGCCGCAGGGAACTCGGCTCTGACCATGGCCTGGACTCAGCAGCACCCGCCCTGTTGGCTCTTACCCAGCTTTTCTCGCTTGGCCAGATGCTCTTGAATCCGTGCCGTCTTTAGCAGGGCAGGAGCCAAGTCAAGGCTTTATAAGATGGACACACAGAAGTAAAATTAAGCCATAAAAGTGTTTCCCAAGACTTGAGTCTCTGCCCATGACAAACAGCATCCCACCCGGTGCCCATTCAAGTAAAGTGGCCCTGCTTGCTCTCCCAGGGAGAGCTGCTCAGGTCTCTTCTCACCTCCTTTCCAGTCTTCGCTTTCACTGCTTCCCTAGGAAGGGCCCCAAATGACTCCAGCAGCAGGCCATTTGCCAGCTCCAGACCCCTAGGGCAGTCCTGTGTCCTTGTGGCCCTGGATACACACCCTCCCCATCTCTGGCCCAGTGTTCAGAAATGGCGCCTTTCCAGTTGCTCCCTCCGATCTTTGCCCAGCCTCAGGTGCACACTGATTTTTCCAGAACAGAAAACTGTCCTTGCCTGCCCGACCCCTCCCCTGTCCACAACAGTGCTCCTTAAAGGTGGGCTCCTCTGCCTTAGGAGATTAGGGGGCAAGGTGTCAGGCAGCAGCATGCTAGCAAATTGGATTTCAAAGAAACAACAACAAATAAACAAACCTGAATTTGTTGTGTTTGCCAATTTCTGTGGTGTAAATACTTTCACTGTGGCCAATTTCCAGGTTCAGCCTTGAAAAATGCTACCCTAATAACTGGTTCTCCTGAGCTCTAGCACACCTGAGTGTGTTTGTGTCTGGGTAAACAATGCTCCAGGTCTTACCTCTGCCCTTGACCACAGTAGCTCTGCTGATGCCTGTCTTATCCACTGGGTGTCTTCAGCAGATCACTCTCTGCCTGCCTTGCCCTCCAACATACCAGCCCAGACACTCTGTTCATTGTTCTTGGAATACATTCAGGCTCCCTCACTGCCACACCTTTGCCCACACAGTTCTTTCCACATGAGGAACTCATCCACAAATCCAAATACTTGCAGGTCTATCAGCAGTCCTCCACCTCAGCAGGTCAGGATGAGGAGAAATAGCCACATTGTTGCCTCTCCTACAGGCCCATTCACTGTCTGGGAGGTGGGCAGCAGGAGCCATGCCTTTGCGTGTCCTTCCCCCACCCTCACCCCATGACCATCTATAAAATCACATCCTCCCACCCTGCACACCAACAAACATCTGTGGTCACCCGAGCCACAAACAGGTCTAGGGGGTAAGCCCCACCCAACCACAGCCACCCTGGGACCTGCCTTAGAAAGATGCCAACTTACAGGCTGGTCTTTTTGCTCAGGTTCTTTTGCGGGCTTCCAAAATACTCAAAATTGAGGGTGAAAGGGGTCTGTATCGGGGAGTGGTTGGTCAGGATGAGCTGGCAGTTCACACAAGTTCTCAGTGGCACTGCTGAGCCCAAGTCCAGGCGGAGATCCTCTGGGTGGCCTGACCACTGCTCTGTGCTGAAGAAGCTGCCCCGTGCCCATGGGAACAGTGTTACACGTCACTCCTGGTCCAGCCCAGCCATACAGGAACTCAGCCTTGGGCCCCCTCCTCAGTGAACTACCACCCCACGGGTCCACCTCTCCTGCCCACCCTCTATGTCAAGAGAGCTCTATACAAGCTGTCCCTGGCCAGGGGCAGACTGAGCCCTCCACGGGAGGGAAGGCTCCAGTTACCTACAGCATGGTCCCTTGTCATCTCCTACCTGCCGTGACACATGCCACCAAGTGTGTAGGGAAACACCTCAGAGAGGGAGAAGCTGAAGTAGGGGACCTGTTCCACACAGAGGTGGTGAGGGGCCACAATAATACTGTGGGTTTTCCCTGGCTGTAGGAAGCAGTCAGGAGGAGACTGGTGCCAGAGGGGACACTGGTCCATCCTGGGCTCACCTCAACCCTTAGGCACCAGTCCTAGCCCTGGGCTCACCTTCTCTCTGAGCCCTCCACAGTGATGGTGATGGAAACTTGCAGTCCCTGGGGTTTCCCAGAAATGCCCAGGACAAGCGGCTTCTCCATGCCCGACACATGGCACGGGAGGGCCAGATCAGTCAGCTCTTCCTACAAGAAAAGCCCATCCCAGGTCACATCACTACAGGAAGACGTAGGGCTAGAGCCTCAGAGGATGGCCCTGATGGTCTCCCAGAACAGGGGCCATGGCTGTGGGGTGACTCTTTTAGGCTCATCTGTCTGGAAGGGTTCCTCAGTCCCCCCAATGAGTCACAGTTCACAGGTACAGACTCGGGGCTCAGCCCATGGCCCTCCTGTATGCCCCTTCCTTAGGCCGCATTGCTGAGTCTGCTCCAGACAGATGGGCAGGCTGACATGAGGTAAGACGTTTTAGAGTGGACTTCTGGAGAAGTCACACTTTTTGCTTGTGTTTTAACTTATGGTTTGTGTGTAACTTTACAAAGAAAATTAAGTTTCCCATTCAACAGTTTATGCATGTTTGTTTGTTTTTCATGACATTGTTTGCAAACTCTACATATAACTCTTCCCACTTCCTCCCTGTGCTCCCCATTTTCATTCACCCCTTTTTTCCATGTTCTGAGTATTTTTCAGCCCTTTTGATCGCATAAGGCTGATTATTCTAAAGAGCACAGTACCTCCCTGGTGTCAAAGTTAACATCAGAGATCTGTCTGTTACTCCACTGAAAGTTAATGTTTGGAAGTGGTCTCACAGACTCAAAAGTCTGGTCTTCATGATTTTGAATTTTTTTTTTTTTTTCTTAAATGTTTTATTGTGAATTATATGTGATAGTTTACATGGGAGAACATTAGTTTTACATTCATTCTATCAAGGCCCATCAATGCTTCAGAGAATGGCCTGGTGAGGACTAACACTGCTGTCAAAGACCAGGCACGGCCAGGGGCTCACAGGGCACAGCTATGCCTGATCAAGGCTTCCTGCACTGGAGTCCTTAGAGCAGGCCTGGCAGGAACAGAGACCCAAATTCAACACATCTCTTCTCTAGCCAAGAGGACCAGGATGGGACATGAGGTGGGACCTCCTTGCATTGACAGGTGCAGAGAGTTGGCAGGATGCCCTTGCAGGCATACAGGCCCCTCACTGCCCAATTTACCTGGGTGTGAGCAGTCAACTGCAAGGTGAGCCGGCGTTCCTCACTGGGGCCCAGCATGCCACATCTGGGGGAGACTGTCACAGTGCAGAGGGCTGCTTGGTGCCCCAGGAGCTAGCAGACATGTGGATGGATCTGTTATCACATGCTGGACTCTCAGGATGAACCTGGGGCCCAGAGAGTATGCTCAGACTATTCCCTGCTGCACAGGAAGCTGGCACACTGGGGGCTTATAAACAGACCCGACAAGGCTGGGTACTCACTTCTGGGGTATAAACCACTCTAACTCTCAGGGACCTGTTAAGGGGTTTCCTGACCTGGGAGGCCCAGGCTGAGGGGGAGCCAAGGGCAGATGCCTCTGATGTACATGGATGAGGCTCATCTCCCATGGCACTAAGCGCAGGCTCCGCATCATCCTGAAGGGCAGTGACACAACTGGGCTCCCAGCCGCTGCCCAGTCATGGGCTCCAGCAGCTGGAGGCCCCAGGTATGTTCACCAGAGATAGGGGGCAGGAATTCCTTGATGGCAGGACAAGAAAGAGTTCAACCAGAAGTGCTATCCCTGTGAGGAGTCGAGCGTTTGGGGCCACTAAGGGACAAGGGACAGGCTGAGGACCTTGTTCTGAGCGGTACAACCCCTCTTTCAAGGGCGTTTTAGCTGAGGGCTGCAGGTCTGGAGACCCAATAGTGTGAGCTCACTGACCTTGCCCCACTGGAACTGGGTGGGCAGGAGCGTGCCATTGATGAGTGTGGTGGCTGCCATCGTGGGTACATCCAGGTAGAGGTCGCTGAACTCCATGTGGCTGCTCTGCAGGTACACATGGGGCCTCTGCACCTCAGCATACACAGGAAGGTAGCTGGAATACAAAAGTGCCCCGAGTGGGGACAGGCTATCCAAGGTCACATAGAAAGGCAGAATGTTAATTCCCCGTGCAAAGAGCTCAGTATTCTGTAACTGAGGTGAGGGGAGAATGGGCTGGGAAGGATGCAGAGATTACAGCAGCTGACCTGACCACATGAGACTTACACTTTGCCCAGTATACCATCTAGAAACCAGTAGAAAGGGCCACAGACAACTGGGGAATGCTGTACCTGTGTCGAAAACAAGGTGTTATCTATGTGCATTATATCTAGAAATGTGACTGCTGTCATGAAAGAAAGGGAGAAAGATATGAAAGAAGAAAGGGAGGGAAGGTGGAAGGGAAACAGGAAAGCTGGTTATCAAAAGTTGACTCCAAATGTTGTCTTGTGAGAAGACGCCCTGCTGTTTGGGGATGGGAAGGATCCAGGAAGCACTGTGACAGGTGGCTTTCCTGATCCCAACTCTTCCCTTTAAGAGGACTATACACTCTGCACACTGCTATGAGGCCTACAGTGTTTCCTTGTAGATCAAATGCACTTCTGTCAATGGCAAGCTTGGCCATGTGACTTGCTTTACCCAATAGAAAGTGATAAGACATGATATCCACAGAGCAGAAAATTGCAGGAAAATTCAAACTATCTACCAACCTTCTTATTCTTGACTATAACCTGGCACAGAGGTATAACACCTTTCATGTAAAGTTCTCAAAATACAAATATACATTCTGACAAGTCACATAATTGTGTGTGTGTGTGTGTTGTGTGTATTTAATATTTTACTGTGAATCGGATGAAGGTTTAGAAGCAGATCAGTTTCCCATTCAACAAGTCATACATTTTGTTTCATGTGGTTGATTAAGTCACAAGACTTTGAAGGTGATCTGTTACACAGCCTTATCTCCAGAAAATAGACTAATAAAAGGACAGAGTAAAAAGCTTATCAAATTGTTTTCAAATTTATAGTTAGGAAAATACAAACTAATACAACAAGGTATTATTGCTCTTCTAGAATGGCTAAAATTAAAACGATTCAAAGAAAACATTGGCAAAGATGTACACTAATTTATGGAAAGAGAAAGCCTGTTTTAGCGAGCAATTTGACAGTGTTTATTAAAATGTAAAGCAAAATATACAGATAAAAATATCTAAGACATTCTGAAGAATAAGATGCAAAGATTTGCTTTACCAAATATTAAGAATATTTGTAAAGCTACTAAGCTCAATGGAGCAAAACAGACTGTCTAGACACAGAACCAGACACAAAGAAAATGTGTTTATGGGAACAGTACCATTACAGATTAGTGGGAAAACGATGAACGTTTCAGTAAATTACGGCAACTGGTTGCCCATTGTTGTTGTTGCTGTTAGGTGACACTGAGTTAGTTTCAAACTCACAGAGACCCTGTATAGAGTTTCTGAGGCTCTTAATCTTTACAGACACAGAAAGCCTTGTAACTTTCCTGTGGAGCAGCTGGTAGGTTCCAACTGTTGACCTTTCTGTTACCAGTCCAGTGCTTATTCTACAGAGCCACTGTGCAACAGTTGATTATCCAAAGAGGGGAAAATTAAATAGGTCTCCCAGCTCATAACAAACAAAGTAAGATAATTCCATGTGAACAGATATCCAGATACAAAAGGTTACTACCACCCATTTGACCTAGCTTCGATGGCTGGATGATCAGAACTCAACTAGAGGAAGATTAAAAAAAAATGATAAAAGAAACGAGTGTAAATTGCTACATTTTGACCTGTATTTACGGATATATTAGCCCAAAACACCAACTCTTTAATGAGTCTTCACATTAAAGGATCAAACCTATACCCTCTGTACACAGGGTGGATAGGGACAGGCAACTTAGTTACTGTCTATCTACCTATAAAGGCACGAAGTGACTTGCATACAAGTTTTAAAGAGAGAGTTTAGTTTCAGAGTGTGCTGGGGGAAGGCAAAATCCCCACTGAATAATTTTCTCTTGTCTAGCCGGGTCTGGTAAAAGGAGATGGGTATAAGACTCTTTTGATTCAAATAGTAATTGTTTATCATGACTAATTATGACTCTCACAACTGTAAAGGTAGAAGTTTTCTAACAGAAAGTGGGAGTACTGAACCTTACAGTCCAGAAATAGAGGACCCTAGGACCATCAAGGAAGAAGAACACAAGCAAAATGTGAGACCCTATCCAGAGGAGCAGTGACACCAGAGATGAGGACATAGAGAGAGCGAGCAACTGAGGACTCTAAACTCATGGAAAGAGAAAGACTGTGTGCTGGTGGCCAGGAGGCAGGCTTGTAAAATGTGCTCTTTGGTTGTTTAAATGATTACATATGCCCTTGAGTGCTTCTGTGTACATCAAAAAACAAACAAAAACCTAGAGGGCCTATAAGCAAATCCTGTTGAATGATGACACATGGAAGGGACTGTAATCATTGCAATGAAACAAAATACAACAGGATGAGTGTAAAATGATATTCTCCCATGTAAGCTACCACTCAATTCATAATAAAAGCTTAAAAAACAAACAAACCGCACAACAATTATGTGGAGCTCAGTAAGCGATGCTGTAGGGGTGAGGCAAGCTAAGAGTCCTACGACTCCTGCTTCTCAGAAGGAAGCAGTAATGATTGAGACCCAGCTTGGGATCACCCTAGGTAAGTCATGCTTAATCATATTACCTTTTATAATGGAACAGTTACACTAACAGGTTTGAGTGTTATAATATTATACTAAGACCTAGTTTTAACAAGGAATTAACAAGGTTTTTATTACTAAGGTGAATGACTTATTTGAGGCAGGGTCTTAAAGTTGGGTCCCATGTAGAAGAGGTGAATGAACAAGGACAATCATGTGTGGGTATGTTGTGGAGGACATTAAAGCCTCAGATGAAGGGGCTCTGGTTTCTGTACATTTTCTCATAGAGTTTCTTTGTATCATCTGTGCTTTTCCCCACCTGTGAATCTAACCCAGTAAAACTCTCCTTCACATAGAGTCACTAGTTTGTCACACAATAAACTAATCTTGAAGTAAAACAAGAGAAAAAAAATAAGGCTATTAACAAAATTTTTTAGAAAATAAAATGTATTTTATGACCTCAAGATAGAAAGGAAGTTTAAAAATATCATTCATAAAGCTCAAACCCAAAAGGAAAAGACTGATTATCTTTATTACAATAAAATGAAAACTTTCTGCTCATCAACAGTTAGGTAGACATGAAGGTATTTAGGTATTCTAAAATCAATCACCGTAATTCACATTAATAAGCTAAAGAAGAAAAACCATACAGTTATATAAATCGAAGGAGAAAAGTATTAGACAACATCCAACATCTACTTAAAGGAGCTCTGGTAGCACAGTGGTTACAAGTCGGGCTGCGAACCGCAAGGTTAGCAGTTCGAAACTACCAGTCATTCCCAGAGAGAAAGATGAGGCTTTCTGCTCCCATGAAGATTTACAGCCTCAGAAACCCTACACAGGGTCACTATAAGTTGGAACTGACTCCACAGCACATAATCACCACCACCACACCACCAACATCTACTTAAGATTAAAACTACTCACAGAGAAGAACTTCCTCAACTTGATTAAAAGCCTCTATAAAACATCTACAGCTTACATTATACTAAATGATGAAAACAATGGATACTAGGAATGAAGCAAAGTTGTCCACCTTTCATCACTCTTATTCAACAGAGTACTGGGAGTCCAAGCCCATGCAATAAGACAGGCAAAAGGAATACAGATTGGAAAGGAAGAAATAAAACTACCCTTACTCGCAAATGATGTAGCTATATACACAAATACCAATGAACCTGCCCACCCCCACGGGGCGGGGGGGAATCCTTCTACAACTAGGTAAGTGAATTTAGAGAGATTTCAGGATACAAGTCCAACACACAAACACACAAAATCAACTGCATATCCATATAATAATACAAGCCAATGTTTTGCTGCTATTCACAAGGTTTTCAGGAGCTAATCCCTCAGAAGTGGACCACCTACTATTCCTTCTTCCTACTGTTTCTGTTTCTGGTTTTAAATCAGGAAAGGTGTGCACACCAGAGCTGTGTCCTTTTACCACAGTTACTCAATGTGTAGGCTCAGCAGATCGCCCAAGAAGCTGGACAATATGAAGAACGTTACATCAGGCTTGAAGGTTTATTAATAACTTAGGATATGCAGATGAAACAGCCTTGCTTGCTCAAAGTGAAGAGGACTTAAAAGTATTTTCTGATGAAAATCAAAGAATACAGCCCTTCATACGGAATACAACTCAACGTAAAAAGAACACAAATCCTCACCTGTGGACCATTTATCTCCATGATAAATGGGGAAAAGATTGAAGTATCAAGGATTTCCTTTTACTTGGATCTACAATCAATGTTCATGGACGCCAGTAGTCAAGAAATCAAATGCTGTACTGCATCACGCAAATCTGTGGCAAAAAACCTTCTTAAAGAGTTAAAGGGCGAAGATGTCAGTTTGATGATTAAGGTGCACCTGACCCAAGCCTTGGTATTTTCAGTTTCTCAGAAGCATGTGAAAGTTGGTCAGTGAATAAAAAAGACTGGAGAAGAATAAATGCATTTGAATTACGGTATTAGAATAGAATATTGAAAGTACCATTGACTGCCAGAAGAATAAACAAATCTGTCTTGGAAAAAATATAGCCAGAATGTTTCTTAGAAGTGAGGCTGGTGAGGTTTTTCTTACCCAGTTTGTACATATTATCAACAGGAACCAGTCCCTGGGAAAAAAAAACTCATGCATGGTGGTGATTTAACAAACAAGAGGAAGACCGCCAATGAGATGGATGGATACAGTGGTTGGAACAATGGGCTCAAATATAACAATAACTGTAAGGATCAGGCAGTTTTATTTTGTTGTGCACAGGGTCATTATGAACCACAGCCAACTTGACAGCATCTAATAACATTAGTCAAAAAAAATTCAATACTATTTACAGTTGCTCCAAAGCAAATGAAATATTTTAAAATCTAA